GTAATTTGTGTATTTTCTTCAATGTTTTCCAGCGGCGAGTAGAGCAGCCCCTTTATGGTTTAGATGGCAGTGCTGCAAAGGAGGCATCAGAGGAGCCGTCTGCTCTGTCAACCCTCATGTCAGTGATGCTAGCAAAGCCTCGGCTTGACACGGAGCAGCTGGCACAAAGGGGAGCTGGCCTCTGCTTCACTTTTGTTTCAGTGAGTACAATGGCTAAGTTTATTCAGATCCTTGTCATTGCCTCGGAGCTCCTTGAGGAAGTTGGATTAATTATTTTGGAAGAGAGTTGAGGACACTTCTAATTCCATATCACTTCTAAAGGTGTTGTGCTTTTACTCAGTTCTCCCTAGTTCAAGCTCCTGAGAGACTGCTTTGTCAAAGTCTGAGTACATAGTGGGAAGCATAGTCTTTGATTGACAAAGAAATAAAGAACATACAGATCAAATTCCATTATAACCAAAACACTTGTATAATTGAAAATAAAATCTCCAAACTCCAGCCATCACTTACGTAAATTATTATTTAAGTCAGCACAATTTTAGTATTCAGGCAGGCATTCTCTACAGCAAGCTACTGGTCTTTCCCCGTTGGGTATTTTGGCTGCCTACACATTTGCCTTGCCACCCCTTTGGAGTGTTGGCACAGTTACTTTTTCTAGGAATATATGGTGACCTGTTTGCTTTGTTGAGCTTGCTTTTTTCTCCTTTGAAGAACAAGAATTTGAGTATTATGAAATTTGACCCCATTTTAATTTGCCAAATTATAATGTTTTTGAATCAAAAGTTGTTACTTTTCTTGATTTCTGTGCTTTGCCAGGTACCTGTTTGTTGCCGAGGATGGTATAAAGTAAGAGAAAGCCCCATTACCCTATTCCATTTTTAGGGACATCTTTCCAAATTCTTTCCTTCTTACTGGTTCATTTTCTCCAATTATAATCTCAGTTTCCTCTTTATTTGCTTTGTGTATTCTATGAGTTATTAACCTATGTGCCAACTGTATTCAAAAAGGCAGTGAAAATGGTATGTGTCTTAAGGAAAGGAAATAAAAATAATAAAATAATTAGCCAGATAGGAAACCATTTTGCATTATTTGGAATGCTTTCTTACAGTTATTTTAGCTTTACCTCAAGAAAGAGATATCCAGGAGGTCCTCAAATAATGTCGTTTTGGTCAATGTTGTTTTGTGATAATGTTGATGAGGAAAAAAAATCCCAAAGATGATGGGCATGTTAGGTTCATTGGCGTGTCTAAATGAACCCAGTCTCAGTAATGTGTCGGGGAAGTGAGTGTGCCCTGTGGTGGAATGCTGTCCTGTCCAGGGTTGGTTCCTGCTTTATGCCCTCAACTGCTGGGATAGGCCCTCACCACCATGAACCCTGAACTGGAATAACTGGCTAAATCATTATCTTATTTGTTTTTATTAATCTTTATTAATGTGTGTATAACTCACATTTCAATGTTTAATATTATAAGTGTTTTGGTCTTTATTTAGAAATTTGATGATGTTTTTGTGACCAGAAATATGCTGTAGGAACTTACCTTTTGTTTATGTCAATTAGCCTATGGTAACATTGGTATTGTTATATGTTTATGTTATGTGTTTCACTTAAAGTCGCAATTTCCAAGAACCTATTGAAGACACTAAGCGAGGACTTAGTATAATATGACTTTAAAAAAATTTACCAAATTTTTTTAATTATCAAAGGAATGGAGAAATTTTGTGTGTGAAGATAGTATACTTCTGTCCCTGAGTGACAAAGGAAATACAC